CTCGGCACCGGCACCGCACTCCTCATCCTGCTGGCTTGGCAGTCATCCCCTCAGCCACGCCCTGCACCCCACCACCCCCACTCGGCACCACCCCCAGAGCCTTGACTCCTCCTCTGGAAGCTGCTGGTAGCCTCAGCTGGGAACTGGCTGGCACAGCTCAACAGAAGGCACTTGGTGCCACATTGCCCTTTGCGGTTGGCCAAAAGCCTCTGTGGCCTCCCCTCCCCTCCTGCCAGTTGACCTTGGCTGGTGGACTTCAGGTGGAGAACTGTTTTGCCTCTTGCCCACCCCATCAGAGGACAAAGCCAGGGACCAAGAAGACATGGAGAACTATCAGAGGACAGCTGCCAGGCCAGATGACTTGGCTACATGGGCTGAGGAGACAGACAGCTTCTGGTGCTGAGGAGAGGGGCCCTGGCCCTGTGTCTTCCTCCTCCACCTGGAAATATGAAACTCTATAACCTCTTGACCCCTGGCACGTTTCTTCCCTTCCCCAGAGTTCAAGGAAGCCTTCTCCCTCTTCGACAAGGATGGAGATGGCACCATCACCACCAAGGAGCTGGGCACTGTGATGAGATCGCTGGGGCAGAACCCTACTGAGGCTGAGCTGCAGGACATGATCAATGAAGTGGATGCTGATGGTGAGCTGCGGCGAGACCGCCCTCGGGGCTCCCTCGGGACTGTTAGCTCCCCACAGGGCTCTGGGTCACATCTGCCTCCCCCCCTCCAGGGAATGGGACCATTGACTTCCCAGAGTTCCTGACCATGATGGCCAGAAAGATGAAGGATACAGACAGTGAGGAGGAGATCCGAGAGGCCTTCCGTGTGTTTGACAAGGTAAGCCGTGCTGCTCGGAGCCCTCTCCCGGGTGCCAGAGAGCAAAGCCAGAGCCCCTTCGCCAGCGTGTGGGGAGGTGAGTGACAAGCCTTTGCCCCAAACCCCAGGATGGGAATGGCTATATCAGTGCCGCCGAGCTGCGCCACGTCATGACGAACCTGGGGGAGAAGCTGACGGATGAGGAGGTGGATGAGATGATCCGGGAGGCTGACATTGACGGCGATGGCCAGGTCAATTATGAAGGTGCGTGCTGCTGGGCAGGCTGCGCCCCGGGAGCGGGGGCTGCGGGCGCTCAGTCTGCCGATGGATGGTGATGCATCAACTCTGTCTCTCTTGGCAGAGTTTGTACAGATGATGACCGCGAAGTGAAGGCCCGGGCAGCTGGCCATGCCCGTTCTCCTGGTCTCTTCTCTCGCTCTCCTCTCTTCAACACTCCCCTGCGTACCCGGTTCTAGCAAACACCAACTGATTGACTGAGAATTTGATAAAGCAACAAAAGATTTGTCCCAAGCTGCATGACTGCTCTTCCCCTTCCCCCTGACTGCCCGCCCTCCATGCCCCTCACGCTTCCCTG